CGTGTGTTTGCGGACGATACTCTACTATATGGTCAGACCAACGATCGACGCCTAGTGCTTGCGAATATAAAGATTTGATTTCGATCGAGTGTATAAATCAAATGAGAAAAGCGATTTTCGAGGATCATGGTATCATATAAGATCATCGAGGATCATATAAGGGAAGAGTAGATTGTAGAATAGAGAAAAAATCGTATTAATCATCCAGCAAAAGACATGCAAAAGACATGCCGCCACGAAACTTGCATAGTAGAGGTAATCAACCATGGGGAATCAGGAAATGACTGTGAGGGACCTCTAGGATTCATTCTAGTGGTGGACTGATTTCTATTTGATTGGATGAAAATGATTTGCATTAGGTTATTTGAAATGTTCAAAATCGATTTTGGGATAAACACATGGAAAGATAGCCTGAAGTGTCTACTTTCAGAATCTGTGTCGCTTTAGGTTACAGAAATGAATTTTTGTGGCTTTCGAGCAAGCTTTCTAGGAGCCTCGAGAAACCGGGTCTTCAAATGACGTTTTTTTCCTTGATACTTATGCAATTAAATGTCTTTTTGAAAGCGTAGATTTGTAGAGTAAACTTTTCTAATCAAAATAAGAACTCGTATAACTCTCTATGGCCTTGAGTCAAAAAGTTGAGTTGCAAGCAAATTGCTTACAACTCATGAAATTGAGTATTTTATACAGCATTTCTCTCCATGGGAGTTACGCATGAAGTATTTTCCAAGACTTCTAAATATACTTCAGGTCTTAGAGTTTGGGTTTGTTTTATTTTAACACAGAGACCTAACTACATGGGCTGTCCAGCGGATGGTTGATTACCTTTTTTCATAGAAGTTGAAATAAATTTTTTTCGAGTGAGAAATCATAAAGGGATTTTACGGTATCATAGAAGGATCATAAAGGAATCGATCCTCGGTGTTTGCCCCTTGGTATAAATGGTAAGATAGATAGAAAAGTCCACGGAATGTTGATAAATGTGTGTCTGGGTCATTCCTTGATAATACTGAGTCGGTTAGTATTGCTGGTAAGAGAAAGAATGGACTCATTGCTTTTTGAATAACTCAGAAATAAAAGGCGCTAGAGAGTTCGAGTTTTCATCATTTAAAAGGAACATCTTTTTGCAAGAAATATTAATTAAAATAGCAGTACGTTTTCTAGAAGATCTTTGGAAAACCATGTCATAACTCAAAGCCTTTAAACACGAGTAGTTTGCCCTTTTCACTGATAGATAGTTCAGAATGTGCGATCTAAAATGGAGGTGAAGCCAGACTTTGATTTTCAGTGGTTTAGTTATAGTATCGCGTTGTCTGAGATGGCTGATATGTAATGGCTTTTGGTAGCACTGGCAACCAATGCAGTATAGGTAATCTACCACGCAAATTTTGTATTGTATGAAAGATACAGACACGTTTCCATCGATACGATCTTAGATCAAATGTACAAATCATTTTATTTATTAAATGTTGCTTACGGTTTGTTTAGACTAATGTCCCTGATGTTCAACTCGATGAATTGTATCAGTTGCAATACAAAGTAGCACTCATCGTTAGCGCTAGCGGGGCACTTCATAAGATCAGCAAAGATACCAGCTCTGGAATGGGTTCCGCTAGCTTTTACGTTCACAAACTTACCCTCGTCTACATATACAGGTCACGTTTCTTCGTATTTGCATGATCTATTGTCGATGAAAATCCGCCATCACCAAAGTACAAGGAAGCGGGCTGATATAAGAATCCCAGCTTTTTTCACACATCAGAATAAGTTTGAAAGTAGCTTTACACATCAACCATTAAGTTCCGAAACAGGTAACTACAATCTTTTAGGGAGTATGAAACCTTTTTTAGGCTATCAAGCTATTAACCACCCCAAAATATAAGGCAGGCAGTTATTTTCTGAATAACTCAAACATAGTAAAAGATAGAGACTTGCGGTTGTCATCATTCGATAGCCAAGACTTAAAAGCATCTTTTAATTAGTAAAACGTTTCTCGAAATCGTTTTTTTATGAGTTCTTTGAAAAACTAATTCATTATCCGAAAATCTGACATAACAATATATTAGTCTTTTGTCATGGAAAGGTAGCCTTAAGTGTTCTGTACAACGTGTGTAATAAACCACACTACATCTGATTGGCTATATTTGCTTTTAGACAAGAGTTCAAGAACAAGATGAAAACCGGGTTTTATGAAAATTGAGTTTACCATGCTGCTTCCACCTAGTATTAAAGAATTCACAGCTCACTTAGAAAACATTCAGGACCAGTTGGAAACTTCAAGACGTACAGGATTCACGCTATAATATACCCTACTTATACAGCAACGTAGAAGAAAAGATTCTAAAATCAAATCGTTTTTTGAAAGGTTTACAGAAACTTTTGTACAGAAACATGGTTTTGAATGTTTTTTGATCATTTAATCACATTAAACGTATAAAACTAATATTGTCTTGAAGTTTCCAACTCGAGATATGAAATAGACGCTTGGCTATGGCGAGTCAGAAAATGACTAGTAGCGTCCTCTAGGATCGATTCATTTCAGCTTGATTGGATGAAAATCATCGCAACCGGTAGCGGACTATGGGGAATTAAGAAATGACTATGAGTGACCTATAAGCCGAAGACCTCTCGAGGGGCACAGAGCTTTCGTTCTGACCTGAAAACGATTCCAATACAAAGGCTTCTTCGCACATATTCATAAGTGCCAGTTCTATCAGTAGTCCCAAGCGAAAAGTGATTGGACAGTTGGAAACGTTCCCTCGTAAGTCAATTTATGTATATTATAACAGTCTAAATTTAAAGAAATATCATAATTACATTCAACAATAAACTCATTCAACATTTTTCTCGCGCGCCTCGCCACACTTTTTTTTTCTTCTGAAATTTTAATTTTAATTTTATTTTCGTAATGGTTTCAATTTAATCCATTATTATCCACTTTTGGGCTTCTATAATTGATTTTTGGGATATATTGTAATTCAGTTACATTCTGGTCGAAATTCCACGTGTTTTGGTATTAGTTTTATTGTCCACTAAGCCGCTTTAATGCCAGCTGGTATAAAAAAGGCAGCGAAGAAAGGAAGGAAAAGACAAGAGACAGCAGCCAATAAGAAATCAGATTCGGCAGAAAATCTTCACTTACTCACAGACAAAAGTCCAGACTATGAACAGCTCGTTAATGACACGATTAAATGTCAAAAGTTTGTGGATAGAGTCAAAGAAATAACTAAATCGTTACAACCACGTTTGGATTCGACGATGAAAGAAGACAAGCAGGCAACAGAAGAATTTGCATCAGATCCAAATGTGATTGTTGTTAACCGAACGAAAAAACGTAGAAGAGTGGCACCTCTTCCGTCTGCTACAAGTACGGATACTACACCGTCTGCTTATCCGGAATATCTGCTACATTCGGCTCCATCAGAGAATGTATCGAATGCAGCAGAACGATATGCTTGTTCGTTTGCTTTTCCACCGATCAAAATTATACCGCTTACGACTAACAATCAGATGTTCAACTTGACTGGATCTGCTGTTACCAGATTTCTCGATGAATTTCGTTTGCCCGATGAAGCTGAGTCCAATATAGCGTATTGGAGAATTAGATCTGGGAATCTCTTATTGTTCGCCGGGGACAGAGAAACGTTTTCACAATTGCTTGACGAACGAGTGTACCCAAGGCTAATTGGTAGTTACAATTTCAAAATGGAATATCCGAAAAAGATTCCTCCACAGCTTTCACTGTTAATACTTGGCGTACCGATAGCGATGAACGTTGAACATCTCGTTCAAGAAATACA